GTCATGCTGATCATTTTTGCAATTAAAGTTTCTCTCTATTTTTTATAGTTTTCAAGATAATAGGCAAAAATGAAAAAAAAATTAAGGGCAATAATTCCTGAAGAAGTCGTCCGACAGTTTTGACGTATATGAACAATTGGTAGAGCTCAACATTTTGAACATAACTGCCCCTCTAAGATTTTCTCTATATATAACAGTTTTCAAAATAACAGACAAAACTTGCATTTTACCCCTATGTTCTATTTTTAGCCATGTCGGCCATCTTGGTTGGCAAGCAAGGTCATCAGACACATTTTTTAAACTAAATGCCCAATGATGATTGTGGCCAAGTTTGATTAAATTTGGCCCAGTAGTTTCAGAGGAGAAGATTTTTGTAAAAGTTAACGACGAAGACGGACATCAAGTGATGAGAAAAGCTCACTTGGCCTTTTAGGCCAGGTGAGCTAAACACTGGTGAGACTTTGAGCTTGAGTTATTGTTTAGATAATTGTCTGTAGTTAAAGACTGTATATTGACATTGGATGTATTTTAGTTTTTTTCATGAGGAGGTGAAAGGGCAGTGCGTAAATAAATCATTTACATTTGTTTGAATCAAATATTTAATTAATCCCATCACTAACAAGTAATATAAATTTAACAAAAGTAAATTCTATCTCTACATGCTTCACAATCAGTTACACCACAATAGAGTCATTCCCTCTTCTTATCCAGCAAGTTTTAGGGGTAACACTTTGTACATTCGAAACATATGATGTCTGATTAATATTGATTAAAAAATGTTAAGCAACATATTTTTTATTAAAAAACTTTAAATTTAAATTTTCCAAAGATGCAGAAATAAATTTTCTCATCATGTTTTTATTGAGTAAAATTGTACCATATGGTTTAAATTCTATGTTACAATAGTTTTTAAATGTAAAATTAAGTACATTTGTTCCTAAATACATATTTGAATAAATGTCATCTTGTTTGGTCATGACCATAATTACTGTTTGTTTCATAATTGCTACAGTTTTTCAACACTGCAGTTTTGATTTGCACAAAAATTATAAGAATTCATGATTTATTCATAGAAAATATATAGAAGTACATTTGTACTAAAATTACCATTCATGATTACAATCTCTAGAAATTTATTAATTGGACACAAAATAAAAATTAAACAAGAGGCTCTCAAGAGCCTGACTCGCTCACCTGTAATTTTTTGCTTAAATCTTTCATCAATGATTATTTTTGCTTTTCAATATATATTAATGGCTTAAAACTTCCATTGAAATGTTCTTTGTATCTGTCATATTTTCTTCAAAATCAAAGAAGTGCATTTTACCCCTATGTTTCATTTTAGCCATAGTGGCTATGTTTCTTGACGTACAAGAAAATAAAATACAAAATTTAAACTAGATACTCTGAAACTCATTTAGCCCAAGTTTGGCTGAAATTGATTCAGCAGTTTCAAAGGAGAAGATTTTTTAAAGTAAGCAAACTAAATGAACAAATTGTGAAAAATTGATTTTAAAGGGCAATGGATACTTTTCTTGTATCCCTGGTGCTTTCGACTGGAGAACCGTCATACACAAGCATCGCACAAGTTGGCACTCCAAGGCGGGTGGGGAGCAAGAAGGTGAACTGTGGTTTATTTTTATCAATAGTACTGCTTAAGTCGACGCTAGGGGCCGTCTTGACCTTGTTGTAGGGTATGAATGATTCGTTCATTGTTGAAGACCCTACATCAACTGTCAAGATGAAGAACAGGAATAAAAGCCCTGTTCATTGATAATTTTCTATGTTTTCTATGTATTGTGTGCGATTTTGTCCCATGTACATTTACTCCATATCCTTTCATTTTCTAATAACTCCTTAAGAGGACAATTGACAATTTTGGTCATACGAACTTATTTGTAGATCTTACTATGCTGAACATTTTTGCTGTTTACAGTTTATCTTTATCATTAATAATATTCAAGATAATAACCAAAATCTGCAAAATTTCCTTAAAATTACCAATTAAGTGGCAGCAATCCAACAATAGGTTGTTAGATTCATCTGAAAATTTCAGGGCTGACAGAGCTTGGCCTAATAAACATTTTTACCTTCTCATCAGATTAGCTCTAAATGCTTTGATTTTTTAGATATAAGCCAAAAATTGCATTTTACCCCTACATTCTATTTTTAGCCATGGCGGCCATATTTTTTTACGAAACAGAAAATAAAACACAAACTTTATTCTAGATACCCTTAGAATCATTCAGCTTAAGTTTGGTTGGAATTGGTTCACTATTTTCAGAGAAGAAGATTTTTTAAGTTAGAAAACATGATAAACAAATTGGGTAAAATTGTACTTACAGGGCAATAACTCCTTAAGAAGTCAATTGACAATTTTGATCATTGACCTTATTTGTAGATCTTACCTTGCTGAACAGTTTTGCTGTTCACAGTTTATCTTTATCATTAATAATATTAAAGATAATAACCAATAAAATGCTCCGCTGGGTCGCAGCTTGATACGATTGCAGAGAATGAACCCTGAACAGTTGGGGCAAGTATGGACACAACATTCAAGCTTGATACAGCACTGAATTTGGATTGTAATTTTAAAATATTTGACACAGCATAGGTTTCTCACACAGAATGAAAGTGGTCTAAGAACTTAAAAATTTTTAATTTACCTATTCAAACCATATCATTATTATTTGCTTTTATATATAAATCAGAAATAACCAATTTAAAATTGAAAATTTTAAAGAAAAAAAATGAAAAAAAAATCCCCCCCAATTTTTTGAACCCCCTTTTGATTCATCACCCCTAAAAAACAATCCCAGCTTTCCCTTTGTGGTATGGTACCTTGCAGTACAATTTCAGAGAGATCCATACACTTGAACACAAGTTATTGTCTGGAAACTAGAAAAATGCTTGTTTTTTGGCCCCAAATTCCTAAACGTTTAGGGCAATTACCCCCAAACTCAAACCCAGCTTTCCCTTTGTGATATGGAACCTTGCAGTACAATTTCATAAAGATCCATACACTTACACACAAGTTATTGTCCTGAAACTAGAAAAATGCTTGTTTTTTTGCCCTTTTATTGCCCCTAATTACTAAAATTTTGAGGGAATTACCCCCAAAATCAATCCCAGCCTTCCCTTTGTGGTATGGTACCTTGCAGTACAATTTCAGAGAGATCCATAAATTTGAACACAAGTTATTGTCTGGAAACTAAAAAAATGCTTATTTTTGGCCCCTTACTCCTAAACGTTTTTGGCAATTACCCCCAAACTCAATTCCAGCTTTCCCTTTGTGATATGGAACCTTGTAGTACAATTTCATAAAGATCCATACACTTACACACAAGTTATTGTCATGAAACTGGAAAAATGCTTGTTTTTTGCCCCTTTTTGGCCCCTAATTCCTAAAATTTGGGGGCAATTACCCCCAAAATCAATCCCAGCATTCCCTTTGTGATATGGAACCTTGTGACACAATGTCAGAGTGATCCATACACTTACACACAAGTTATTGTCATGAAACTAGAAAAATGCTTGTTTTTTGGCCCTTTTTGGCCCCTAATTCCTAAAATTTGGAGGCAATTACCCCAAAATCAATCCCAGCATTCCCTTTTTGATATGGAACCTTGTGGTACAATGTCAGAGAGATCCATTCACTTACACACAAGTTATGTCTGGAAGTTACAAAAATGCTTATTTTTGGCCCCTTATTCCTTAACTGTGGGTACCATAACCCCCAAAATCAATCCCCACCTTCCTTCTGTGATATTGAACCTTATGGTAAAATTTCATTGAGATCCATTCACTTAAACTTAAGTTAGAGTGCGAAAACTAATGTGTCTTCGGACGATGACGAGGACAACTCCAACGTCATACCAATATACGACCACAAAATTTTTTTTGCAGTCGTATAAAAACTGCAAAATTTCCTTAAAATTACCAATTCAGTGGCAGCAACCCAACAATGGGTTATCAGATTCAACTGGAAATTTCAGGGCTGATAGAACTTCACCTAATGAACACTTTAACACCAAGTCAGATTTGCTCTAAATGCTTTGGTTTTTGAGATATAAGCCAAAAACTGCATTTTACCCCTATGTTCTATTTTTAGCCATGGTGGCCATGTTATTTGACGAAACAGTAAATAAAACACAAACTTTATTCTAGATACCCTAAGCATCATTCAGCTTAAGTTTGGTTGGAATTGGTTCAGAAGTTTCAGAGGAGAAGATGTTTGAAATAGTTTACACCAGACGGATGACGACGGACGCCAAGTGATTGCAAAAGCTCACAGTTCCTTCGGAATGGTGAGCTAAAAAAGACCTTACTTCATGAAATACTTTTAAAATTGATATAAAAATATACAGATCATAAAAGTAAAAAGAACACTAGCTTATCAAAAATTATATTATAATCTTACAACAACTAAATTTACTTTCAATTTAAGTACATGTATATTTCATAATTTTTTTCTCCACCGGTTTCTTGAGAATTTTTTTTGAAATCATGACCAGAAATGACCTCAAGATGCATGAGATGGTAGACCTGTGATTGTTTAATCAATTTACAATGTTTTTATACTTGGACCAGTCCATCATTGAAATCCAGACTTGGACAAGTCTATCTCTGAAATCCAGACTTGGACCAGTCTATCTTTGAAATCCTGATGGGACCAGTCTATCTCTGAAATCCAGACTTGGACCTGTCTTTCTCTGAAATCCAGACTTGGACCTGTCTATCTCTAAAATCCAGACTTGGACCAGTCTATCTCTGAAATCCAGACTTGGACCTGTCTATCTCTGAAATCCAGACTTGGACCTGTCTATTGTTGAAAACTATATATTTTTTCTGTCATTGAGTTGCTGTCTCATTGATCCCACATCTCCATTTATTCAAATTCACTACATGTATACTGTTTACTACATATATACTGTTTTTAAAAAATACAATTATTGACGGTATTTAATACTGTTGAATCATTGGCTGTAAATGTTTACAGATTTTCTTTACAAATTTATTTATTTACATCAATTGATCATTTTTAGTTGATAAGTTACCATGACAAAATTAATATGAAATGATTCAATTTTCAATGAAAACATAATTATAATCTAATGTAAATGCTTAAAAATTGCCAGATATCAGTCTACAAAGTAAGAATAATATAAATTAGTGTTAACTTTTAAAAAAAATATAAGACCACACCAACATGAGTATTAGTTCCTTTGAATTTACTTGTACTATTTTCAAAGTCAAAGTACAAAATGTACTATGCAATAAAAAAACATTCTCAACAGTGAAAGACCTTATAGCTCATTCTACATGGTAATTACTGAATAAATTTATAATAGATTGTATTTTAAATAGAAAAGAAACCTGTATTTAAAAAAAAGCTATTGATAATTTTGGTTGTACTGTTGGTATAATTGATACAATAATTGAGGATCAGTATATGACTGAGATAAAGCTGAAGAACTATCAATAGAGGGCGCTGTGTTTGCATCCTGAACTTGTTCCATGGAAGCACTGACAGATTCCACATCTAAACTTGAAATATTATTTACATCAACTAAATACATTTTTGTAGCTCCTTTTGTTGGAGATGTTTGAAGTAATTCCACCTGGTGCCGGTTATCTTGACTGCTTTGAGCTGCGTTGTTGTTAGGTGATAGTATCAATCCATGAACACTTGGTTCTAACTGGCCTCGGTCCTGTATAGTGATCTGTATTTTAGAAAGATGTGACTGGTTCCCATCTGATGAAAACATAATTTGTCCCTGATTTGAAACATGATTTTTTTGCAACAGTGACCCATCATTCCTCAATAAGTCTTGTTCCTCATCTGCAGGGTAAGGTTCGGTGTCATATTGTTGAAGCATAGAGCTTTGTTGGTCTTGCAAATAAACAGGTTGCAATTCCTGTACTTCCACCAAAGGAAGATTTTTTCCACCATTATCTTGCATTTGGATTCTTTGATGATGGAGGTCAGTTTGCCTTTGAGGACTGGTTATGTGATCTTGTTGATGCAGCAACAGTCTAGCTTCCTGTACTGTGATTCTATTTATATCTGCTGCTGATAATCTACTTTCACTTTGATCTGTGTTTTGATGGTCATGAGTCATAATATGATGCTGTAAATTATCAGAATGCACAAGAACTTGATTATTTTGAACTGTATGCAAATTCTGGTCAGTGGGTAACAGATCAAGATGGTCAGGAGCAATATTATTCAGAATGAGAGACTGTTGAGCTGACAAGTGCTGAATTGTAACGGGACGATTACTTGAATCCATTGGTTCTGTTGTGTAGTGCTGAATTGTGACTGGTCGATTGTTTGGGTCATTGGGATCATACAGAATCTGTGAATCCTGTGATGAAGCAATCAAACTGGTAACGGTTGTATATGCCTGATTTGAATGGTTACCTTGACTACTAGGTGCATGTGAATAAACCAGTTGTTCTGTTTCCTGACCGGCTTGAATATTTTGGGCAAAATTAAGTGGTTGGTTGTCATTTGTAGTTATTTGCATAGTGAATGCTTGGTTTTTATTATCGTTTTCTAGGTCTAACATTAGTTCATCACCTTGTGTAGGTCTGAGATTCAGCATGATGTTCTTTACAATTTCCGGACTATGCTTATGTTTATTTGTTAAATGGAGACGCATATTTCCACGTGTTGTGCTTTTGTACTGGCAGTCAGGACATTGAAAAGGCTTTTCACCAGTATGCGAGCGCATGTGCACAAGAAGCTGTGTTCGTGTTTTGAAAGATTTCTCACATCCATAGTCTGTACATTTGTGATTACGAACTTTGCTATGTTTGTGAAAGACATGACTTGTAAGACAAGTCCTACTGTTAAACCCTTGACCACAGGTCTCACATATAAAGGGTGTACCTTCTTCATGAATCAGTTTATGATCTTTAAGTTGAAACCGTGTAAAGCATTCTTTGCCACAAATGTCACATTTAAATGGCTGCATGCCTTTAGGTAGGGGAACACTGTGACGAAAATATCTATGAAAATGTATGTAGAAAAAGTTTGGTTCTTTTGTTTCATAACCACAAATATCACACATTTTCAGAACTTTTTCTTTTTTCCTTATTGACATGGCCATGATGACATCTTCCAAGTCGGTATCGTGAACAGATATAATATGGGTTACAGCTCTTTTAGAGAATATGTAATGATTTCCACAGATGTCACAAATAAAATGACGTTCATTTTCTGGTAAGTGTTCTGCTTTTTTCTCTATCTGTGCGACAACTGCAGATAACTGACTAGCTCTGTATGATGATGCCTTCATCAATCTGTGTGTTCGCTTTGGCTTTTGTGGTTCCTGTGGCTGAGGTTTCGCCTCCATTGAGAAAGTATGAACAATACCTTTATCAGCAGGTCTAGACAAAATGTCTTCCAGTTCCTCAAATTCTGTCCTGGCAAATTCTTTAGCTCTTTTCTTTGGTGGAGGTCTCAGTGTGTATGTTTCTTTCTGTTCTGGAACAACAGCTGCACTCCTATAAACGAAAAGGAATACTTAACAGTGACATTTCTACATGCGAAACATAAAAAAATGCATGTATCCCAAATTATTCTATTTGTTAGTTAGTATTACGTTATGTTAAAATTCCTTTCTCTTGATTCTATGTGTAGTCATTGACTGAAAATTTATATTATGTATAAAATATATTGTAAAATCCTACATGTTTTATCTTTTTAGTCAAGTTGTTAAGTTGTGTACGGCAGAACGCTTGGTAATTTTTGTTTTGTTTATTTACAAACAGAACTTTTCCCACTGAATAATATAACTGAGTCACAAAAACAAAAGTGCACACACTGAATGTCTTGCAAGCTAATAACTTTGTCATGATCGAGTTTAATTTGAGTTTTTTAAGATCAAGTATATACTGCCATGACTACAGGTAATCACATAAATTTAACCTTATCAAAGTCCATGAAAATAAGGTCATGGTCAGATTAACCCTGCAAGACAGACATTCAATGTATGTGATACACCTTATAATCATTCAATAAGTTAAAATTTATTTGACCTACATGTATTGCTTATATAATACATGAAAACTTAATGTTGACCACTGAAAGATGGACAGAAGGTCAAGAGAAATCCGTCACACTGGCATGAACACCTTTAGAATCATTCAATTACCAAATATTGTTGACCTACTGCTCACAGTAACTGAAAAAATCCACTTCATTTGAACTTTGGTGCATAGTTGTCTTATTGGAAATCATACCACATCTCCTTATTTTCTTTTATTGACGACACAAACTTGACTCTGATCACTGATCCATGTAATGAGGTCAAGGTCAGATTGAACTTGTCTTCAGGACAGACATGTTGACCAAATGTATTTATCCTTTTACCGGTACTCACAATAAGTGATAAATTCCAGTTTAAAAAAAAACTTTAATAGAGTTTTTTTAAGCTGACCATCAACCAGGAAAATGATGTCAAGGATAATAAACATATGACAGCCTGAAACTTCATAACATAACATAAGCATCTGTATACAAGGTATTCAGTTCTTCCCTATGAAGTATAATGCTGTGTACAAATACATGTAGTTATAAACATGGTTTATGCTGCTGCTGGTGCCAAATTAACATCTCTATGTCTAGCATTCTGTAACTTTCATCACAGCCTAGGTAATAATATCAAAATCAATTTGATCTTTGTTTTGTGGTAGTAAACATTGTGTTTAAGTTTCATAACATTTGGTTGAGGAAAACTAAAGTGAGAGAACGGAAACTAATTTTGGGACATATGGATGGACAAGGGTACCACTTAATGATCCCTCTGCCTTGGTGGGGGCATAGAAATAAGTTTGTATGACACTCTAAAACTTACTTTGGTTTTGTTGATTTCAAAAACGAAGCATAAGACTTTTTGAAAGCCTTTGCTGCTCTCCCTTTTTTAGTAAAAGCTTTTCCTTTTAGTTTAGAGTGTGGTTTCCAATCAGCATCTTCATCACAATCATCAGTCAGTTCATCTATGTTCCCAGCTTCCTCATCTTCACTATTTTTATTTTCATTGGACACTTGATCAGAACTGAAACTTCCTGTGGATTCCATGTTGCTACTTGATGTAATTCTACTTCCTGTATCTGAGAGCCCATGGTCACTACTTATACTGCTGTTAAGTGGTTCTTCCTTGTTATAAGTTGTATTAATTTGGCTTCCTGTTGTGGGTGTTCCAGTTTTCTTCAAGCTGCTAACTTTGTTTGAGTTTATAAATGCAGCATTTGTATGTATTGGATGTTTAAACTTAGTTTCAGTAAAAGAATTAGAACTAAAACTTACACTTGTTTTAGAAATATTGTTTTCTGTATTTTGTGACGGGCTTTTGCTAGGTGTACTGGTACCCTTCATTGATGCTCTTCTTGTTCCATATGAATGTAAAGGCATTGATGTAACAGAACTTGTGTTTTCTTCGTCAGTCCCCTTTTTTATTGACTGTGCATCATCCTTCTGCTTTTTAGTAGGATTTGTCTTAATTTGTGGTGACTTTTGCACTGCTTTTTTGGTAGTTGTTTTCGTCTCTTTATTCATATTTGTGTTAACTATTGAGGAATGTTCATTTTTTACAATAGCTACAACATCTTCTCCTTTGTCCATCAAAATTGTTTGACTGATATCAAACATAATCACAAAATCTTTACACATATCTAGTAAATGAGTTAGTTTAAACAGATTAGCAACTCTAGCAAAATGCCCCACATTGTCAGATGTCAAGGTCACTTTGCCATCATATAAATAATGAACCAACTGTGAAGTGACATCGAGAGGAATACCCTGAGGAAGTTCTATCTTCAGTGATGCATTCTGGGAAAGATCTGACATCTTAGACAGGATGAATGGACATGCTGCTAACAACACAAGTCTGTGTACCTAAAAATACAAGTTAAAAATTTTATATTTATCATAATTAACTGCAGCAGTTAAATTAATTATTAATGTCTCTTTATCACCATCCTCCAAATGCGAGAGCTTACTTATAAGTTTCAGCTACATGTGTGTGTGTATGTTATATATTATCATTTTTGAAACTTTATCTGCAACTTTGAATTGCTTGATTTTTTTATATTTTGCTTTGGTTTGTTTAATCACATCTTTCGTATCCAACCATTTGTAAAATAGGTGCTTCTTTACTTTGCTGAATTAAAACATTAAGCAATACGTTAAGTGGTAAAGCTGTTTCATACTTTTTTCAGCTAAAAATGTCATGTTATAAATTGTTGATAAATTTCATTCAACATGTTCAATTTAAATCTGCTTTAATTTGTAAAATTTCATAGCTCTTTTAAAATTTTACAATGTTAGTCTTCTCAGGCTACTGTATATTTCAAAATTTGACAATGTATAATTGAGTTGTTTGCAAAGAAAGTATGTACTTCAAAGGTTATCTCCCCTTTGACAGATTAATTAATATTATAAATATATATTGTATACATGTAAACACCTGTCATTTATGAAGTCTGTATGTTGACCTCTATAGATCTTGTAAATGTCTTTTGGTTTTTATCTTTTTCAGTTACTGTTTCATTTTAATATTATACACTTATCTGCTTTTATTCATACTAAATCATCTTTAATTAAAATGATATTTTTTTCAGCCAATTGCCTTGTTTTGATTTTGCCAAAATCATGATAATACTAAGTTATCAAACATAAAGGTTGTTTGATTGACATTATAAAAAAATCATTTTATTTGTACATCGTAAAAAAAGTTATGGCTGAAATTCGAAGAAAAAAGCAAAATGTTGTAAAATCAATTCATTCAACAAAAACTCCTGACCAAGATGGGTGAAGTCCCCTTGTTTTACGAGAAATCTTACCCTTATTTCTGTATTTCCTGATAAGATCACTGAATCACAAAACAAGCCCTCCTTCAGAAGACCAAACATCTTTCCCATTAGTTGTCTTGGCAGGTCCACATGTGAGTAATCTTTACTGTCGGACTTTGGAAATGTAACTGTCCCTGTTCCTTCTTCGAAATTGCCACGTTTCTTAAATGGTGACTGCTTAACTTTGTTTAGAGCTTTCTTAACTGGTGAGTTATTTACCTGCAAAAATAAAACAACTATTGGAACTGCTATTATGATTGACTTACACTTGGTTGCTTAACAATCAGAGGTAAATATTTCAGGCATATTCAGAGCAAAACTATTATCAATGTAAACAGGTACATTTACATGAGTTTTAAAGTATAGGTGCTCCCTGAAAGAGCAAGGTAAATTTTTGTACTTAAGTACTTAAATCTCTGTGGAGCAGGATCTCCTTACCTTTCTAGGGCACCTGAGCTCACCCCTGTTTTGGTGAGATTTGTGTTGCTTAGTCTTTAGGTTTTATGTAGTGTTTTATAGACTGTTGTTTGACTATTCAACCTATTACATTTTTTACCATATTTCGTTAGTCCTTCTTTGGCATGAGTATGAGGGGCCTGATGGGTTATTTTCGTTCTTCGTGATCGGCGCATTTTCGCTATCATGATCCATTTTTCTACAGATTTATTTTTTTTTTATATTTTCGTGATCCGTGATCATGGAAATTTATTTTCTGTGAATCGTGATTGACAAAAAAATCAACTCGTGAATCGTGATGAGACCCCCCCCCCCCTAATCAGGCCTCTCGAGTATCTATTTTCCCTTTGGTATCTTCTGACTCATTTTTTTATTGATGAACTTGTCGTTTATGACCTACAGAACATACAAACAGATATTGCAGAGTAAATCTCCAACATTACCAGCATAGTTGGTACAAAAATATATATATATACATCAATAAATAATATTTCTACCTAATGCAACGTGTTACCTCTATATCATGGTTACATTATATACATCAATAAATAATATTTCTACCTAATGCAACCTCTCTATCATGTTTACATTATATACATCAATAAAAATTATTTCTACCTAATGCAACCTCTCTATCATGGTTACATTATATACATCAATAAATAATATTTCTACCTAATGCAACCTCTCTATCATGGTTACATTATATACATCAATAAATAATATTTCTACCTAATGCAACCTCTCTATCATGGTTACATTTGATTATGTCATATGTACATTGCTGTATGGTCTCACCTTTATAACAGGGCTGACATTAGGTTCCTTCACAGAATCATAACTTATCTTCTGATGAGTAGCGGGTTCCATCAAAAGCTGATTAGTTGTGAAACTATTATCTGTGCCAAGCAGAAAACTAGTATCACTAGACACTGGCATGTCACTCCCGTGATGAGTGTTAAATAAACTTGATAGAATATTATCTCCCCTTTCATCCATCAAAATGTTTGCTGTACCCAGAGGGTGCTGCATATCATTGCTACCATGATTACGGAAACTGTTAACAGGTAGTTGGTGATCAGTATTGCGTATGTTTGTGACAGGCATTGTATGCTGTATGATATCAGTGTTTCGTAATTGATCCTGTAGACTGAAATTCCCAACAGAATGGATAGGATCCATACTGTATCTGCAAAAAAACATATTGTTGTCAATATTCTGATGACCAAGTCAATTTTGACATGCAAAGATCCTTGTTTATTTAGTTTTTATTTAATTTTCATACCCTTCTTTAAAGAAAAACATTTTAAAGCTTAAATCAAAACTAAATCTAAATCAATTATATTAAAAAATTGGCCAAATTTATAAAGTCCAAAATAATTGAAGTATACAGAAATGAAGATCCCCCATCCAGACCATCATACAATGTGTTAAGAAGTGTCTTCATAGCTAACAATGGGTAAAATTTGCTTGAATCATAACTTAGCCTTTTATTTAATCAAAGAACATAATTCAGAAAAATAAATTGTGAAACTTTTCAGTGTCAAGGTTTCTAATGTTCATTTTTTCAAAACCATATTCCTACTTTCAAAAGTTTCATCATATATGATCATATCCTTTGTTAGTCAATGCAAGGATTTGTATAGTGAGTACTATACAAATCCTTGGTCAATGGCTATCTATTTGATATAACCTATCTTAAATTGACATAATAGTACATACACAGAAACCTCAGTTTATCTACTAGTATTTTCCAAAATTTCAACAAGTATAGTAAATGAAAAACAACACTGAAGCTATTACACTAATCTGTGTTTAAAGGTTCCAATATAGTTACATAATAAAAAGAGTAACATGAATTACCAAAGAGTATTGGGCAGTACAACAATTGTCATCCTATATTTGTTCTGCCTAAAAGAAGGTTCCATTGGAACAAATATTCTATACCCTTTATTCTGTAAGGAACAAATTCTGTAATCATAGTAATATTTGTACCAGTGGAAATAATATATTACAGAATATTTCTTCCATTTAGAACTTCTATTATAAAGGAACTTTAATTTCATGACACTATCAGGACTATAATTATGACCATACTAACTACAAATATGCCTTTGCATTAAATGTATTTCCAAACTTCATACATTGTATGAGCCAGTCTATCTTAAGTTATTGAAAGCATAAGTAACAGTACACAAAAGGTGATTCAATTAAAATCCACTCTTGCTATATAGCTAGTGCTGAGTGTTTCTGAACACAAATATTTAACTAAACATTCCATCATGTCTGTTATTAACATATGACATATGATTCACTTGAAGGACTTTTGAAGGTGAGTCAATTTTTGTCATTTTTGGCAATGGCTAGTCCAACTGTGAGAAGAAGAAAGTTTGAAAGGCTATATAATTCATTATTTCTTATGAAGCAAGAATCTTGCAATTTGGTTAGTTAATTACTCGGTTGTAAATAACACCAACCACCCCAGTTCACCAGAGGATAAAATGAAATTTTGCCAAAAATAAAAAAATAAAATTTTAAATGCAAAATTACAAAACAAAATAATAAAATTTGGGCAAAAAAATTTTGCCAAAAAAAAAATTTACAAGTTTTTTGTTTTCCCAATTTGAAAAAATAAAAAAAATTTCTCCACAATTTCCCAAAAAATTCAATTTTCCAAACTTCCAAAACATAATTTTTTTTAAGAAAGGTGATATTTGACAATGCGCGCAGCAACATCAGCGTTAAAATAAATGTGTATTGGAAGTTCTTCACAAGATAGGGCTCACGCTAGCAGGCGACTGGGGACCTAGGATCCGAATTGTCCTGTAACCGAAAGTTGCCAATGATGATATTGAATCCCTAAACACAAAAACTTTTTGGATCATGGGTGGTGGCCACAGTAAATTATGCTAACAACTGTTAAGAATTATTGAAAATTTGACCAAAACTAATGTTACAACACAAATAAAAGAACAAAGTTCCAATGTCCCCCCCCATTGCACATATTTTATATTTCCAAGGGCATAACTCTTTTAAAAAAAGTCGATCGTCCACCATTATAAAACATGTCTAAGATATTGCTGATATTAACCTATAGTATAAGTTTTATGAAAATTTGGCAAGAATTGTACCCATGAGAGCGCTAACGAGGCCATTATCCATAAATTTAATATTTCCAAGGGGCAAACTCTTTTTAAAAAAGTCGATGGTCCACCATTAAAGAACTTGTCTGAGATATTGCTGATATTAACCTATAGTATAAGTTTTATAAAAATCTGACAAGAATTGTACCGGTAAGAGCTTTACGAGGCCATTTTCCATAAATTAAATATTTCCAAGGGGCATAACTCTTTTAAAAAAGTCGATCGGCCACCATTATAGAACTTGTCCGAGATATTGCTGATATAAACCTATAGTATAAGTTTTATAAAAATCTGGCAAGAATTGTACCCAAGAGCGCTAACGAGGCCATTTTCCATAAATTTAATATTTCCAAGAGGCATAACTCTTTTAAAAGAAGTCAATCGACCACAATTTTAGAACTTGTCCGAGATATTGCTGATACATGTATTAACCTATAGTATAAGTTTTATAAAAACCTGGCAAGAATTGTACCTGTGAGAGTGCTAACTAGACCGGACGGATGGACGCTCGGACGCCTGGTATTTCCATGTCCCCCGCAACGCGTTACGTGGGGGACAATAATACATACTTAAGAAGTCAATACTTTATCCTTTGTAATGTGATGTGCCAAAATGAAGTTATTTTGTATGGACAGAAATGTCACAATGTACTATTTCTATGTGAAATTTGTAGTATTTTGGCCCTATTAAAAAAAACATAAAAATCTTCGATTATTAATGAGTTTGTACCAACAAAGGATTTGTATACCCCACAATGTATCAGTGTTCTCCCCAGGGCCTTATAGCATCATAGTAATGTGATTCTATCTGAATTGGTTCTCTTATGGATTATGTTGAAGTAATTGGATGTGATGCTATATTTTTAGAAACAAGATGGTATTTCAAATTTCTCTGTTTACCAGGCTGATGCTAAATGAAATATCTGGGGAGAACACTGTACAGTATGTATTTTTTTCATCTCCATTTATTCATAAACACTGTAGTCCAATTTTACAAACACTTTATAAACAACATTCACAAGTGCAAATATTAGCTAGATCCATACCCCACAAGGTCACTGTGATGTTGTTGTTCTTAATGAGACGTCAGGTCTCCCGCCAACCCCCCCCCCCCCCCCCCCCCCCAAGATTGGAGGTATATGTTTGACCATTAGGAAATAATCAGTACCCTCAAAATAAGGGATACTTTCAAAATGTTAGAAATAAAGTTTATTCTTCTGTCTTTTTATATAAAATTGCAGACATTTAATAAGAAAATTGTGTTTATTTTTTCCTGTTTAATGAATATGATTTTTTTTTCAGAGATAACAAATGTGCATGCAAAAGAGTCTCTTAATATTAAAGAATTGTCTCATATAGTGGTCTGTAGACATAGAACTTCGAAACATTCATGGCTGAATTAATACTAGAGTCATTTCAATGTTGTGACTGTTTCAAGTATCAACACCCTTTTAAAGTTTATGATTTTTATAGTTTTTTCACAAAAGGTAGTAAACAATACTTTTATGATATAAACTTTAATTTGTCTGTATCATTCATTTCTCTTTTATTTGTGGTAATTCTAATCTTTCTTTAAGACTATTACATTGATTACAAGCATTTCATATTCAATTTTCTATAATTGCATGCTATTCCAAATAGAATGTCACCAAGAGTTGACTGATTAAAAAGGGATCTGTACTGATCAAATGGGAGAAATTTTATGACAAGAACAGACTGTACATAATTGACCTTGAACACGATTCTCAATAAGGTCACAAGAAATATGTTGTGTATCGTAAAAGTCCACGTTCAAAACAACAAACGCTTCTGGGCTCAGTCAAATTCTGCTTTAATATAAATATTTGAATCAATGTACATATGTAACACATACCTAATAGGTTGGTAAACACAACAGAAGTGAGATTAAGGTGTGACATGCTAACAAAATGAAATAAAATGGCTTCTTTTTGGTGGTGGCGGCGGTCAGGGATACAACCATTGGAACAGTCACGTAAATCACTCATAATGCCGAATGTTCTATTAAATATGAAGAGGTGAATTTTTTTCTTGTTTGTTGTCATTCAAAACTTACCAATATTGTTTGGAAAATATTCAAGATACTAACTACAGTGTATTTCAAATAAATCGGTCACAACAGGTTCTGTTTACCTAATTAGCATATTTTGTGTTATCCGACCAATCAAAACTATAATAAAGAAAGTACAAATACGCGCAAAATTTAAAAAACGTATTTATTTTTTGAAAAACGTCTTTATAAGGTCCAAGGACGTAATTTATACGTCCTTGTAAGGTCTCATACAATAAATCAAGAGTATTGATTTATTTTTTTCATGTCATTTTTTTCTTTCTCACATGTAAATATTATAAATAAGAAGACTGATGTGGTATGAGTGCCGTGGAAATGAAATAGAAAATGTATAACGTCACAGTATCCAAATTGCACCTATTTAGCAAAAATAGCAGCGGAAATCTTACAAGTGTCTTAGAGACTAAATCCTTTGCATTTTTATGATTTGACATTACTGATGCACGTCTTTCAACATAGGTAAAGACATTTACGGATGTACACAAAACTTTCACAGTATATATCAACAAATGAAGTATTTACTAGAAAAGGTAAAATCTACGGAAACGTCGCTATGCCAGGGGCGGGTCCAGGTGAGGGCGTAATGGGCGTACGCCTCCCTTTAAAAAAAAAACTATCGTAATCTTCTTATATTGTATTGAATATGGCAATTTATCATATTCATTAATTAAACACATACTCTGATTTCTTTTTATACTGATTCCCCCATCCGAATGGATGATCGTCTAAAGGGCTCTGCTTCTTCTTTATGTTCACAGAGACATTAAACTCGATTATGATAAAATAATTGACGATTACGCCATGAGAAATCCGCGTAAAATGGTTCTAATGAATCCACTCTAGTCTAACCATTCATTGAAAATGAGAGTCCGTCAGTATTTCTGTGTTCATTTTAGGTTTTGCGTTAAGGTACATTTATACTAGTAACATGTATATTTCGTATAGCATTTTTACTTCCCATCTGGATAGCCTTTTGTAGTATCATATTGTTTCACTATCCATTAGTGAGTAACTAAGTGACATTGACCTACATTTTGCCATGAAGTTCAAGCAACATATTTATTTATGTACCATATACCACCTATCGGAACTAGACAGTGACATAATTGCTTTAATTTAGTACTGTAGTACAATGACGTCAATTTTTCATATTCAATCATGTATTCCACATTAAAGCCTACAATATTTAGAACGAAAGAACTTTATACTTCAGTGTTTGTTTGTCTTGTATCATGTGTGTCATTCAACGAAACCAGAACGTAATCTAAAATAGAGAGATATTTATCAGTCTGGCTACTCAGTTCATAATTTGATGCTAAATTGTTGAAATCTAGGAGCTTCTGAGCTTCCCCATGGACCCTCTACCAGGGCAACCGTAATTACGCCTCCCGTTCATAAAATCCTGGCCTAGGACTATTGGAACGTTAAGTAACGCCTTATACCCTAGAATTTGGAATTTCTCGTTATTGGTCTACTGCTGTTAAGATCCATCCTACCACTTCAATATACAATAAACAATTAATGGAGAGAACTCGGCATGAAACATGTCAAACCCTGACAATTTAACTATAAAATATACATGCTCCAAGTCAGGAACCGTTACATTAGTGCATTTCACAATTATTTTATGTTTTTTAGCAAAAAAAAAAGGTCCAAAAATTTTTTCGCCTTGCTCCGCTCGACCAAAGATTTAATTCTACGCCCCCACTTTCAAATATCCTAGAAACACCCTGTATGCGACGTTCACAAAAAGTCATCTTTTAAAAATGAGCAAATGAAATATGTTACGAGCATCCATTTCTTTAAAAATGAATAGTAAGCATGGACTAATGTGAAATTGTTCTAAATATTTCAAGAAATAAAACAAAACACCTGTTATTCGATTTTTAAGGATGTGAATTTAAGCATGGATGCAATTTACCATTTTACCATATAGTAAATAATGATACATCTACAAAATAAACACAGAATGGAAACTTTTGTCTGAATTATATAAAAACGTCGGTGAAAAAATTGCAAAAATAGGTGCAATTTGGGTTCCCTCGCGTTATATATTTAACCAGACTGATAAATCAATGTCTCTGCCAGTTTAACCAATTGAGTTAAATTTCAATATTTTTTTCATGAAAGATAGATTTATACCATAAGGAGCGAGGGGCGGAAAGATCTTTTTCTGGGTTTCGGAATTGGGCCGTTTAATTCGCGGGAATTCGGGGATGGCCAGTCATTTCGTCCCAAATCCTAGTTTAATTACAGGCACTGGCTACGATTACCCGCAAAAAGTAACTGAATAAGAAATAATTATTGTTTCTCCGAGGCTAATTACCAAAAAGTATTTCCGGACAGGGACTCCTTTTCAGACGGAAATTGCAGGTAACAATGCTTTAATTTTTGTATTCGGTTACCAGCAAAATATATTCAGATTTGAAATATGTTTGTCATTTTGCTTAGTTTCTTCTTTTACCTATTCTAACATCGCATTTCTTTTAAACTGAGTTTTACTGTGGGTATTGATGTGTGTTTAATTATTCTACATTGGCTAGAGGTATAGTGGGAGGATTGAGATCCCACAAAACATGTTTGACCCCGCTGCATTGTTGCGCCTGTTCCAAGTCAGAAACCTTTGGCCTTTGTTAGTCTTGTATGTATTTTTAATTTTGATTCATTTATATGTTTCGGATTTTAGTGTGACGTCCATTTTATCTGAACCAGTATACATTTTTGTTTAGGGGCTGCAGCTTAAGCCCGGCTCCTTGTGCGGGATTTTCTCGCTGTGCTGAAGACCCATTGGTGGCCTTGAGCTGTTGTTGTTGTCTCTTTGACGCTTTCCCCATTTCCATTTTCAATCTTATTGATTTGTGTCACGTGAAAATAAATTTAAACAATTACATGATTGAACTTTAGCCAGATGTAATTGTAAAGCAAAATACATGTATATATTGTCCCCTAAGACAATATTTCATGACTATGTATCATGAAATATTGTCCTCATTTATGAAAAAATGTCCAGAGAAGGACAAATTTCCATTGTGAAATTTTGTCTGTATATAGACAATATTTCACAGATGAATATCCTGTTAAAGGGAGGTTATATTTTGTCTGTATTGAGACAATATTTTAGACAGATTGTCATGAAATTTTGTCTCATGAAGAGGAGGTTATAAACATATATCATGTATGATAATGATATTTTATTTGACTGATAACAAATAAACACAAATTAATATTTCAGTTACATTGTACTCCTGTACCCCCAAAACGCCGTCGCAAAAAGATTTGTTAACCTAGATTTACGAATACTATAAGTACATTCAATTTTGAAAATAAATAAGTGATTTTCAATACATTATTTATATCTATACAGCATAATGTAGTACAGTGGAACATACGTAAGACAATTCTGCAGGGGCGGATCCAGGATTTTGGAAAGGGGGGCGTAGTATTAAAGTTGCCGAGCGGAGTGAGGCGAAAATTTTTTTGGACCTTTTTTTGGCTAAAAAACATAAAATAAGTGTAAAATGCATTTTAAAGTTAAAGTGTAGGGGTTGGACATTTTTGGTCCCGTATTCTCTCCATTAATTGTCTATTATAAAATGATTGGATGGATCCAAAGCTATGTACTAATTAATATATTTGATGTGGGATTTGTCAGTAAAAAATGGACATGGAAAATTCTCGTTTGTTGTATGGTTAGTTAGCATAACCTCACAGATTTCTTGTTGTAAACAAGATATACGGCTATTCAATGAAATTTACAATACGACCGACACGAAGAAAGACAAACAAGCAATTTTTATCCAAATGTTTGGTTGAAATGTTTCAACCAACAAAGGAAGTGAGGGGTTCCAAATCAACCAAAGGCTACGAATGAGTCGGAAATGACAATGAAGTTGTGAATGACGGTCGACACATGGAGACATATAGGCCACACCTAGCAGGCAGGTTGCTGTCGGGCCTTGAAAAAAGTATTCAGTATATCAGTTCGGCGAAACAGACATTCCGGTCAGATATGGGATTCACATGCAACCCCCCAAAAAATAATTACGCCCGTTTTTTATTCATCATGTTCATTTAATGCTAAATAATTTTGTTGAAAATACTTTTTTCTAATAGCAAAAAAGTGGACAAGATTATTGTTTTCAATCCAGATACGGCCAGAATTTTTGTTTAAGGCAAAAATCAGGGTCAGAATTTTTTCTCTAAAATATCTCAGACTGCCCCCTCAAATCAAATGGTCCGTACCTTAGACTTTAAATCTATATCTAGAGCTTACTGACTGGGGATCACTATTCAGCAATGTTATTAATGGGCTGGGGCGTGCTCAATACTTTATCGCTTTGAAGGCGTCATGCTTGTCATCCTCAGCCTAAGCAATGTGTTACTGTAATTTGAATTTCAAAATGACTGAGTGACGTTTTTTTTCGACGTACTGGTCAACTCCACCGTAGCGAATCACATGACTTTGACATAATCAATAATATATTACAGTAAATACGAGCGAAAAATATCTTTATAAGTAAAGAATTGTCGCATAAAAATTAAATACACGGGAAATGGCAAAGTTCGCGAAGTCTAGTCTGATTAATCATTTTACAAAAAAAAAAAAAAAAAAAAAAAGTGCAAGCAAAGGGGGGGCGGGGCGTACGCCCTCTACGCCCCCCTCTGGATCCGCCACTGATTATTTAATCTATAGTTAACCATTTATAAAGTATCTATGCAAATTTGAAACTAGCTTATGTTAAAATAAATATTAGTTTGAAAAATAAAATACTTACTTTACGAAATAATTTCAGTTATAAATCTTAAAATGTGCATGCTGCATGCTTGTGTACTATTTCTAGTTTTGTAATAATTTGATTAAGACAGTATTTCAAAGTGAAATATTGTCATAATAGACAGTATTTCATACAATCTAATTAAAATATAGAACTCGGATTTCGTTATACTACATACGAGTATAACGAAATCCGAGTTCTATATTTTAATTAGATTGCCTTTAAACAAACCTAAACACAAACTAATACATGAAAACGAATCAAAATTTCAAAGTCAATTAACCATAA